GAAACATTTGAAAGCATTCAAAAGCACCAGTGAACACTGGGAAGCCTTTAAAAGAACTTCTGTAAATAGCTGTAAAAACTGGAACGCACTTAAAGGACTTGTAAACATCCGTAAACAGTAGAAAGCAATTAAAAGCAATTGTAAACACTTAAGAAAACCCACAATGTCATTGAACTGAAGGATATTCTTCAACTCGTGACATCAAAGTGGCTGCTGGAATTGCACCTCCCAAATTATCTCCCTATTAGAACCACACCAGAGCCAAGAGACCAACTTAACTGTTGCAGCTAGAAAAGGTCAGAACATATTTTAAACTGAGTTACTGGTATAAACCACAACTTGGACACTGAAGGCAGATCTAGGCCATTATTTCAAACATTCTAGAAATTCAATCAATGATCGGTGAACAGCTTGTATTCAAGATGCAATATTTTTGGATATGATATAAATGGTATTGAGTTATAATGGCTTTTCTCGGCCTTCATAGTAGAGGACACGAATAACATGCCAGTAATTGATGACAAGGTGACTAAGTTAGGTGAGGACCTAGACACAGTCATTATCATGAAAGAGGTAGTGTTGGGCAAGTGAACGCAGGTAAAGGTAGACAAGTCTCCTGGCCCTGATGGAATGCATCCCAGAGTACTAAAAGAGATGGCAGGAGAAATAGCAAATGTGCTTGTGGTAATTTTCTAAAATCTGCTACACTCAGGCAGTTCCAGCAGATTGGAAAATGGCAAATGTGAAACCACTGCTTTTTAAAAAAAAAAAAGAGATAGACAAAAGATGGGGAATTATAAGCCATGATAGCTTAACTTCTGTAGTGGCAAAACTGCTTGAATTTATTATCGAGGAAGAACTAGCAAGACATCTAGATAGAAATTGTCCCATTGGGCAGATGCAGCATGGGTTCATGAAAGGCAAGTCATTCTGAACTAACTTGCTGGAATTCTGTGAAGACATTACGATTGTGGTAGACAATGGGGACCCAGTAGATGTGGTGTATCTGGATTTCCAAAAGGCATTCGACAAGGTGCAGCACAAAAGGCTGCTGCATAAGATAAAGGTGCATGGCATTATAGACAATTTATTAGCATGGATTGAGAATTGGTTAACTAAAGGAAGCAAAGAGTGGGGATAAATGGATGATTTTCTTATTGGCGGTCAGTGACTAGTGGTGTACCTCAGGGCTCAGTGTTGGCACCACAGTTGTTTACAATTTACCTAGATGATTTGGAGTTGGGGACCACATGCAGTGTGTCAAAGTTTGCAGATGACATTACGATGAGTGGTAGAGTACAGTGTGCAGAGAACTCAGTCTGCAGAGGAATATAGATAGTTTGGGCAAAGATCTGGCAGATGGAGTACAATGTTGATAAATGGGAAGTCATCCATTTTCGTAGGAATACAAGTAAAAAGGACTATTACTTGAACAGTAAAAAAAATTGCAGCATGCTGCTGTGCAGAGGGACCTGGGTGTCCTTGTACACGAATCATAGAAGGTTGGTTTGCAGGTACAACAGGTAATTAAGAAGGCAAATGGTATTTTGTCCTTCGTTGCTGGAGCGATTGAATTTAAAAGCAGGGAGATTATGCTACAGCTGTATAGGGCGCTGGTGAGGCCACACCTGGAGTACTGCATGCGGTTTTGGTCTCCTTACTTGAGAAAGGGTGTACTGGCACTGGAGGGGGTACAGAGGAGATTCATTAGGTTGATTCTGGAGTTGAGAGGGTTGACTTATGAGGAGAAACTGAGTAGACTGGGATTATATTTATTGGAATTTAGAAGAATTGGGGGGAATCTTGTAGAAACATATAAAACAATGAAGGGAATAGATGAGATAGAGGTTGGTTTTCACTGGTGGGTGAAACTAGAACAAGAGGGCATTGCCTCAAAATTAGGGGGAGCAGATTTAGGACCGAATTGAGGAGGAACTTCTTCAACTAAAGGGTTGTGAATCTATGGAATTCCCTGCCCAGTGAATGTTTTTAAAGCTAAGGTAATTTTTTTGAACAGTAAATGAATTAAGGGTTATGGTGAGAAGGTGGGTAAGTGGAACTGAGGCCCCAAAAAGATAAGCCATGATCTTATTGAACAGCAGAGTGGGCTTGAAGGGCCAGATAAATTACTCATCCTGGTTCTTGTGTTCTTACATTCTTTGCTACTAGAATAATTAGCATTACCATTCACTCAATGCCGCTGACATGAAAGCAAACTAAAAGCTGGAAGTTTTAAAAAAAAAACAGAGGCCAGGATCAGTTATGCAAGATGTTATCTGATTGAACATGTTGGGTATTTAAGACATTGTCTTCCTTAAACGGCATTAATCTGGTCTGAATGAATTTTATCATCAATCTCAGAAAATGATTCATTCCTTACTGCACTTAAAGGACAAATAAGATACTCAGTCTGATCAAGGGTCACGGACCTGAAAAGCTAACTGTTTCCTTCTCCACAGTTACTGTCTGACCGGAGTATTTACAGAGGTATCAACACCTTTTCAGGGAAATTGGTGGTAGGAAAGAAAGACTGACTTTTCCAGCTATGTCCATAAGCTGAGAATGAATTTTTTTTTTTTCTCCAGCTGTGTTATTTGTTTTAATGGGAAATGGTATCAAATGGGCTCCACTGATGACTTTGTTCATTTTGGAAGGAGGAGAAAGAAAAAGTGATTTATTTAAATGGAGGAAAAACTGTAGAAAGCTGTGACACAAAGGGACTTGGGGCACATTGGTGCAGTAGACAATTGGGCAAGCTAATGGAATGTTAGCCCTTATTTCAATGGGATTGGAGTATAAGAGTAGGGAAGCCTTGCTGCAACTGCACAAGTTGCTGGTGAGACCACATCTGGAGTACTGAGAGCAGTTTTCATCTCCTTTATTTAAGGAAAGATATCATTTCATTGGAGGCAAATCAGAGAAACTTCACTGGAATGATCCATGCTGTGTTGGGATTGTCTCATGAGCAAAGGCTAAACTGATTGGGACTATACTTACTGGAGTTGAGAAGAATGAGAGGTGATCTCATTGAAACATATAGGATTCTTAAGGGGCCTGACAGGGTAAATGCTGAGGATGTTTCTCCTTGTGGGAGAGTCTATGACTAAACGGCATAGCCTCAAAAAAAGAAAGAGCTGCCAATTTAAGACAGAGATGAGGGGGAATTTCTTCTGAGGATTGAGTGTCTTTGGAGCTGCTTGCTGCAGAGAGCTGTGGGGACAAAGTCCTTCTAGATATTTAAGGTGGATGTAAATAAATTCTTGATCAGTAGGGGAATTGAGGGTTATGGGGAAAAGACAGGAAAGTGGACGTGAGGATGTCGAATCAGCCATGATAAAGTTGAATGGAGGAGCAGGCCCAAGGAAATGAATGGCCTACTCCTGTTGCTATTTCTAATGGTCTTACGTTGCTACCTAATCTCTGACAACAAATCTGTCTCATTTTTCCAAATGCTGCAAGTAAGGTCCTTTGTTAAAGTGCTAAACCTTGCTATCTTTTGGAAAGTGCATATGATAATGGAAGAATAGACCGTAGATACAATAACAAACAACATTTCCTGAAAGTGGCATTGATGATTTGCTAATTCTTAAACAAATATTCCACAAAGGCATTGGTGAAGGAAGCCAATATATACTATAAAGTGCATTTCCATAACTATCATAGTCCTGAGTGCCAGCCAGCGAGACAGTGGTGTAGTGTTAATGTCAGTGGACTAGTAATCCTGAACTCTGGGCTACTGTTCTGGAGCATGGGTTCAAAACCCATCATAGCAGATGATAAAATTTTGAATTCAGTAAGACAAATGGCAACTATGTAAACACTGTTATAAAAAATCTATCATGTTCACTAATCTTTTATGGAATGAAATCTCCTGGCCTTACCTGGTCGGGGCTACACTCCAGACTCCTAGCAAAGTGGTTGACTCTTAGCTGCCCTCTGGGCAATTTGGTGTAAGCAATCGACAAACTTGAGAAAAAATCTCTTAATTTTTCCACTTTTATATTTTGTCACATGTGGCTTAGTATTGTCATGTAGAATTCATATTTCTCCTATATAGCTACCATTTCTTGTTTGAGCTCTTTGTTTCTAAAACCAGCAAAATTAAAGGGATAATGAACAAAGAACTGCAGATGCTGGAAATCGGAAACAAAAACAAATAGCTGGAGAAACTCCGATCTGGCAGCATCTGTGGAGAGAAAGCCGAGTTAATGTTTTAAATCCAGTGACCCTCCTTCGTAACTAATAGCATCAAGGAATGTTTTTCCCAAAATTAAAGGGATAATTGTTACAGCAAATGTTTAAGTAAATATTTCAGTACGTTAATTGTTGTTATTTACATTATGGTTTATAAAGACAATCCCAGTTTGTGCACTGCAGCTCCTGCAGACTGTGCAGTTTTTCATCTAGAACCTTTATCAGGAACTAACTGTGCTTTTAGCTGAACTGAACTGCAGTAAAATAGTTAAACAATGTCGACCAGTTGTTTGATGCTCTAGCTCATTGCTATTTACTTTTTGTTGACCACTGCTGTGAATGTTTCTCACAGCAATAATGTTAGACACCATGGGAACATGGTGTAATTTTACTGTTTAGACACTATTAATAATTTGTGGTCTAGGTTTACATATGCTCATTCAGATAAAATATATAAAGCTGATTGTCACATTTCTGGATATACCTTTTTATAAAGGTATTTTTGGGAAGGAAAATATTTCCATTTGGACAGTCTAAAGCAATGATTTGTTAAATTGTCCAAGAATGAAGCCTCAGCACTTAACTAATATGTTATTGTTGAAAAATTGACATATTTTCTCTCAAATATTAATATCCACATATTTTACAATGATGGAACTGCGTGTCCAGACATTGAGTAAATAGTATATGTAGTCCCATTTCAAAAGCAATGGCCAGATATTAACATAGGTCTTGAGAAAGGTTGGAGCTGTTTGTTTGAGGTTAAAGGTCACCATTTTAACATCTGATCTTCATCATGTTTGCAGGACTTGCCCGAGCCAAGTCAGTACCCAGCCACACGTACTCCAATGAGGTGGTTACCCTGTGGTACAGGCCTCCAGATGTCCTCCTGGGCTCCACCGAGTACTCCACCTGCCTCGACATGTGGTAGGTCCATTTGCCTGCATGTTTGTGATATCTTTAACTTTTTCCTTGTGTTGGCAAGTTACAATTAAGTTTGAATTGAGTCCAGAGGTGAGGTTCTGCATAAAATGAATACTGGCACTTGTTCTGTGTTGGCAAGCGGTAGTCTGGTCAGAATGTAGTCTTTGATGTGCTTCTAAAAGGCTGTGTGCCAGGGTAAAAGTCATGTGACTGTGGCAGATCAGACAGGACATTTGGGCATTGATTGTGTTTCAGTGCAAAGATCATCATTCATACAAAATAGCATGCATTTCAAATTATCCACATTACCCAATATACATAAGACAGTTCTTTATCAGTCGTTATTCTCATTGGTTTCTGCATATGCATTTCATTGTCTTTAAATCAGTTAGACTGCAATGGTATGTGTCTGTTGGTAACTGTTTATAGGTGATATTCCATCCCCAGGGAATGTCATCCCTATGTTGTCATGGTATCTGTTATTTCATTTCGATTGGGTTTCTATGGACTTCTGGGTCGGATGGTTGGTTGACCTTTGTCTGTGCGGGTGATGCATTCCTATCTTCCTGATTTCCTCAACTATAGTTGGACAGAGCTTCTCCAACTGTGCATGCAGTTGTAGTGATATATCAGTTTATTTACTTCCACATGTAAGATTGAGATGATAACTCCTCTGCACAGGTCCTAAGCTGTCACTCAGCCTGACTTTTGAGAGCGTTGAAGGTTTGTACCCTGATTGGCTTTCCAATGCTGCATTCTAGTAGTCATGCCAAAATGAAAATTGTCTTTCTGCCGTTTCACCTTGATTTTGTTACACATACTTGGTTAAATTTTTGCTTTGGTAGTTTTTTTTTTTTTGCTACTGAATGAGTAGTTGGTGTGCAGGTGACATCAGTCTCTGTATTGAACTACTTTCTGTGCCTCCACGTAAGGATTGCCATTTGTATGCCTGTGATAGATTGTTTGGTTTCTTATCTCTTTGGTGATTTTCACTACCACCTCAACCTTTCAGTTTGACTGGTGATACTGTGGAGATTTGTGGTATTAAGTTTCCCCATTCTTAAGCATGTATGATTTTCACTCTAACTGCAGACCATTGTCAGAATTGACAATGTTGGGAATGTTTGAAGTGTGTTCAGGCATTTAACAAACTCAGCAGTAGTAATTGAATTTCTGTTGGCCCACCTCCCAGTAGTCAGAATAGCAATATACAGTGACAACACAGTGTGGAGCTGGAGAGACACAGCAGGTCAGACAGCATCAGAAAAGTAGGAAAGTTGACATTTCGGGTTGAGAATCTTTGAGCAATGTACAATGACAAGAAGATCAGTTCCTGCAAGTATGAAGAGGTCTGCTCCCACTTTCATCCATGTTCTGTCAGGGATGTTGCTGTTGTCAGCTCTCTAACTAGCTTAGTTTGATATACATCACAAACACTGCACTGTGGTGTGGTCTTTAATTTTGTTACTTATCTTTGACCAGTAGACCACATGTCTTGCCTTTAAGCCTTGACCCAATTCCATGGTGGCTTGCAAGGTTGCACTTGAGCAACTTTCCTCGCAACTCCTTCAGCATAATGTCACTGTTTCTTTAGCCCAAACTGTCATGTTATGCAATCAGTCCATTTCTGTATGCTCAATATACTCTTATAGAAACAGTTATAGCTCATACTTCAGGTCTATCCTTTTATTATTACTTTATGTAGCACTTGGAGCGTTGCATCTTATTAGGTTGTTGCTTGATTTGAGCAAGGCACTTGTCAATCAGATAGCGTCTCTGCTATGTTGATGACTGCCAGAGCATGATGAGCTGCTGCTTCACTTTGGAAAGGGTCATAGAGGACAGACCCCGCAGTCCCACTTGTCCATGCCGACCAGATATCCTAAATATTTGCCCAACATATCCCTCTAAACCGTGCCTATTCGTGTACCCATCCAGATGCCTTTTAAATGTTGTAATTGTACCAGCCTCCACCACTTCCTCTGGCAGCTCATTCCATACACGCACCACCCTCTGCATGAAAAAGTTGCCCCTTGGTCCCTTCTAAATCTTGCCCAACTCACCTTAAACCTACGCCCTCTAGTTTTTGACTCCCCTACCATGGGGAAAGGACCTTGTCTATTTACCCCATCCATGCTTCTCATGATTTTATAAACTTCTATAAAGTCACCCCTCAGCCTCCAATGCTCCAGGGAAAATAACCCCAGCCTATTTAGCCTCTCCTTATAGCTCAAACCCTCCAGCCCCAGGAACATCCTTGTAAATCTTATCTGAACCCTTTCAAGTTTCACAACATCCTTCCTATGGCAGGGAGACCAGAATTGCATGCAGTATTCCAAAAGTGGCCTAACCAATGCTCTGTACAAGTGGAACATGACCTCCCAACTCCTATACTCAATGCACTGACCAATAATGGCAGGAATAGCAAACGCCAGCTTTGCGATTGTATCTACCTGCAACTCCACTTTCTCAAAGGTTTCACACTCTTGTTGTAGCATCATCTTTTTTGGGAGTGCTGCTCTTGACAGTGTTTCTGCCATGTACATCTGCTTCCCTTGCTTAGGTCACATCTGCTGGTATCTCTATAACTGAAATGACTTTCTTTAAGTATGCTTTCAAGAAGATAGTAGCATCTTGAGGAAAATGCTTTTAAATGCTTGTGATCTGACTCAACCACCACAAGAGACTTTTTTCCAAGTCGGTGTTGATGAAAATGTTCACACGTAAAGACAACGACAGGTGCCCTTTCTCAAACTGAACTTAGCATAATTTTGATTTTTGAATGTCAAAGATGAAAATCCAGTCAGTTGTCCTTGCTGCATCAGGGATACTCTAACTTGTGTCTTGCTGGCATCACGATGAAGACTTTATAATTTATGATGTGGTCTTGGCAGTGCTGAAATAGCATCATTTAACAAGCTTGATTTTAGTGATGGGTGCTTGTTCAGTGCCCCATTGCCACTGCATGTCGTTGGTCGTGAGTTGGTGTAATGTTTCACACTCCTTGACAAACTGGGCTGGAATTTGACTAAATAACTAACAAAATTGAACCATTGCACTGCCTTTATATCTGTTGTTTGCTGCATCACTACCACACCACTCCACTCCTCAGGATCTGGTTAAAGATCCTCTGTTGACGCGTGATCTCTAACTTGACTCCAGGCATTTTTAATTGCAAGTGTTTCTTGTTCAGCTTCAGGTTTATCTGGAGATCTCTCTAGCAGTCACATTAGATTTTGATTGTGTATTCATGTTCATAAGCTTGTAGATCCTCCACCATAGCTTCCACTAATGGAAGATCACTAACTAACTCTTGCCTATGGTGAATATTACTCTGGAGCATGGATATGTCAAAGGGCAGTTGCAACCAACTGCATCTCCTGGACCACATCCAGAATGTAGTTACAAGGCTACTAAATTCATTCAGCTAAATTCATTTTGCTATGTTGAGGGTTACTGTCCAAGCATTAGAGCCATAGATCGCAGTTAGTAAGGATAGGCAACAACACCACCTCTGCAATAATCCTCAACACCGTATACTCCTTATATACTCACCACCGTGTGGCCAAATTCAGCTCTAACTCCATTTACAAGTTTGCTGATGACACCACTACAGTGGGTCAGATCTTAAACAATGACAAGACCAAGTACAGGAAGGAGATTGTTGTCTTTATGCCATACTACTAAACTGTCAGTCTTTCCCTCAATGCCAGCAAAAAAAAAAAAAGGAGCTGGTCATCAACTTCAGGAAGCAGAGTGGAGGACACACCCCTGTCTGTATCAATGGTGCTGAGGTGGAAATGTTAGAGAGCTTCAAGTTTCCAAGGAATAAAATCACCAACAATCTATCGTAGTCTATCCACATCAACACTACAGTCGAGAAAGCAAACCACCACCTCTACTTCCTCAAAAGGCTAAGGAAATTTATCACGGCTGCAATGACTCTTGCCAATTTTTCTAGATGCACCATAGAAAGCACCCTATACAGATGCATCACAGCTCGGTATGGCAACTGTTCTGCCCAAGACCCCAACAAGTTAGAGTTGTGAAGGCAGCCCAGTCCCATCACGAAAACCAGCCTTCCATCCATTGACTCCATCTACACTTCCCAGTGCTTCAGGAAAGCAGCCAACGTAATCAAAGTTCCTTCTTACCCCAGTTATACTTTCTTGCACCTTCTTGCATTGGGTAGAAGATACAAAAGTTTGAAAACCGGTACCAACAGATTTAAGAACAGCTTCTTCCCTGCTGTTATCAGACTTATGAACAGACCTCTCCTATATTAGAGTTAATCTGTCTCCACACCTTCTCTGTAGCTGTAACACTATATTCTGCACCCTGTTCAATTACCCTGTTGTACTTGTGTAAGGTATGATTTGTCTGGTTAACACGCAAAGCAATACTTTTCACTATCTTCGTGCATGTGCCAATAATAAATCAAATCAAATCAACTTGCTCCAGCTTCGATGCCTTCTATAATCTAGAAGTCCCAGATCTTCATTGATTTTATTGCGTTTGCCTCTCAGAAATCTGTTCTCTCGGCACTGGTATTGTGCCATCACACAGCTTCAACCCTACCTTCAAGGGCTTCATTTTGAATCAATACTTTGAGCCATTTGTCACAGGTCTGTCAAAGTCATGAAGTTTTGTGATGCACAGATGTCTACCTGATATCTTGTGTTGATCTGCTGTTCTCCTCCATGGAAGCATCATTCCCACAGACTCGAACCATGTTTCACCATGGACCTGCCTGAATCGACATGTTACCTAGTGTGGAGAGATTCATCACCATCTTCAAATCATAGTGCCAGTGGCCATATGTACTTGTGCTTCCTTCTGTTCATGCACTTGCGTGCAAAAGATTTGCTTTAGCAGCAAGAGCACTGCTTTTTATATGCCAACAAGCTGCCTCCTTGTTTGCATGACACCGTCCATAATATTTTCAACCTGTCTTGTCTCTTATTGGTCTGGCTTTTGGGCCTGCAGTATCTATCAGCTTAATT